AATTTGAATCAATCAGTCAATCAAATTTCATGGCTAATTGTACCAAACTTCGTATCTCTCCACTGTTTCCTTTGTCTACCAGCAGGGTCTAATTTGAGACAATCCGTTGGACTTAGGGGCTTGCATTATTAAAATGAAAGATTTGTCATCAGGGCCTTCTCTAGGATTAAGACCGACTTCTATTATCATAGAGTTTAGGGCCTGTATTAAGCAATTCTCAAACAAATCTCATTTGCTCTAATATGAGATGACAATCTATAGGGAAAAAATAAGTATGTATTAATAAAATGTTTTGACTTTTTTGGTCAAACAGTTGCACAAAAAATGTTTGGAAGTAACTGGATGCAATTTAGCTGAGCAGGCCATTCAGATATCCAGGGGAATATTTTCCCTAGATGTAATGGGGGTGTAAGAATAACCCTGAAAAAAAATAGGAGTAAGAGTCACAACCAAGGCAACAATCAAATAAAAACAAATGTGAGTCTAAAGCAGAAATGTAATTGAGAGAAAATATGTCAAAATTGACCATCCCTAATTTTCTTAAAGATAAAAGAAGGAAAGGGTAAGTACATTAGTCTTACAAGATTCTGTTACTACAAAACCTATAATAAAACAGTCACTTCAAAACAAAATGGGCAGCAAATAAAATAAATAAATAAAATAAAATAAAATAAAAGTAGTATTAGCATTCATAAGTTTAGTTTCCTAGTCTGGTCTTCGCTGAAGGACTGACTTAAAAGGGAGCAGAAATTGAGAAGGCTTGTCTCTGTGATCCTTGAAAATGGCAGTTCAGGGTTTTGCGCAGTAGTGTAGCAGCTGAGGGATCGCAGGGCTCCGTACCCTACGGCCGATTTCTGCCTGTTAGGGAACCCCAAATGGGCCTGAAGTTGCCCCGTAGAGGCAACAAAGAAGGAAATCCTGCTGATTGCGAAGAGATGGAGGTTGATCTGATCGATTTGGGAAAAGCCCTTCAGAAACCAGCAGGAGAAAGGCTAGCTTAACTCAGAGTCTAGTCCAAACTACAAGCAGCCAAAGCCCAAAAGCACTACTCTAAGCTGACTGTAAACAACGTTTGGAACTGGGTAAGAACAGTGATTTTGTCTCTTCTACTTGAAAATTGATTTCCTGGAAACAAATTTAAATAAGAATTTTATAAACAGGATCTATGATGAGGCAATCAAGATGATCAATTAGAAAATTATTTGCAGAAACATGAGAAAAATGTCTATATTTAATTGTCATTTATTCAAATAATAAGAACTGTATTAATTTAAGGTTGGCAAAAGAGAATATTATTGGAAGAAGAGAAAATCAAGCAAAGCCATTATATGGACTATAGAATTATAGAAATTAATTGTTATTGATTGTTTTTTAAATATAAACCCAGACAAATATTAAGGTGATTATGTTAAAAATCAATAAAGCATTTAAAAAAGAAAAAAGAAAATGGCAGTTCATGAGTAAATAGGTAATTGAAAAGCAAAGAAATTAATATGGTGAGCAAGCCCACCCTACTTGATTATATATTATGTAGATAGTACTAATGCAAAAATCCAAATCCTGAATCATAAAGAGTTGCCCACTAACACTTAAAGGGCAAACTACTGTATAAAAATAGGAGGAGGAAGGTGTGTTGGATATGTTTGCCGCCTTGAGTTATTTGTAAAAATAATAAAGGCGGAATACAAATAAACAAATAAATAAAAATACTGTATATAAACACAAAGCAAACCTCTTCTAGCACTAAAGATGTTACTTAACTAGATAATAAAATTTCTCAAAGAAAACAACCAAGACTAGAGAGCACCAAGGATTCTAACTAGCACCTTGAATGGCACTAGGAGTCAGATGGCAATCAATGTAACTTGTGTGAATAACAGAATAGGGAGGGACCTTGGAGGTCTCCTTGTCCAACCCCCTGCTCAAGCAGGAGACCCTATACCATTTCAGACAAATGATTGTCCATCTCTTCTTAACAAACCTCCAGTGTTGGAGCACTCACAAGCAGGTTGTTCCACTGATTAATTGTTCTAACTGTCAGGAAATTCCTCCTTAGTTTTAGGTTGTTTCTCTCTTTGGTTAGTTTCCATCCGTTGCTTCTTCAGGTGCTTTGGAGAATAGCTTGACTCCCTCTTCTTTGTGGCAGCCCCTGAGATATTGGAACACTGCTGTCACCCCTAGTTCTTCCTTTCATTAAACTAGACATACCCAATTCCAGCAACCATTCTTCATATGAAAGTGACCTTAACTATTGAAGACATTATATTTTTTAGATAATATTGTTAACAATTTTAATTACAATAATAAAATCTAAAACTAAAAGAATAAAAAAAGAGTAAAAGGTACAAAAGGAAAAATCAGAAAATGGAAAGAAAAAAAGAATATAATAACAAGAAGAAAAAAGGTGAGTTTCAACCTTCAGTACAATTATAAATAATTTTAGTAGCTCTTCATCCCCCTCTTTGTTTACAATGGATGACCTCTTCATCCATATTACATCTCTTATCTATAGACAAATCCATAAAGCATGATCTTTTCAGTCTTGGTGACAGCAGAAAGTTCATTAAGCTTTATCAGAAATAGCAATGTATTTTATTTTAGCCTTGATCAAATAAACCAACTTTATATTCTTTTTACTTTCAACAGTCTTAATCTTTAGTCCATTCGAATAGAATATGATTTCTTTTCATTTATTCTTTGCTCCTTCTCAAAGCTTTAACAATCCTTTTTTTGTAAATCCAATACAAAATATTATTCAGGTCACTCTCTTTGTTCATTATTTGTATTTTTCTTTTGATTTTTGAAACGTCAACCAGTTTCTTTTGTTATGTCCAGTAAAACATCCTTTTCCATGTCATATTCATAGCCTATCATTTATAGATTTATTTTTGATGCCATTGCTCTCGTGTCAAATAAAACTTGTTTCTCATGTGCTATTTCTTCCATGATATCTTTTGGACATAGTCTATCCATAGAAGCAAACACTGCTATTGACACTGTTGATATTAATTTCTAATTCTATTTTTCAAAAGTATCCTTTAGTACTTTCACTATTATGTTTTCCATCATTTAATAAGTCCTAATTAGCTGTCAATCAGGCCTAAATATTCTTCTCCCTTAATTAAAATATTTAATTCTCTCTAGTGTCCAATTTTTAAAGTTACTTAAAATTAATCAGTGTATAAGTTTTAAGGGTCAAAGTTTTATTTAGCTTTTGCTGTTAATTTCAATTTTTTAAATACTTAAGTTTATGATTAAAATTTTCTTATCATTAAGAATTGAAGGCAAACTCATCTGGATTTTTCACACTTGTTGATCTAATAGCTTAAAAGTAGTTAACAAGCAATTTCCAAACATAATTTCTAAATTCTAAGGGAGTCTTCAAACTTAAGTGTCCTTTAAAAAGCACTGACTGCAGCTGCAAGCAAGACGACTATTCCCATCATCTCCCAGTGCTCAAAATCTGCCAGGAACTGCTGTCTTGCATTCTCCTTGCAACGACAACTGTTCAGAGTGCATGTGGGTAATCTCCTATTCCAGTGATGGGAAACCTTTTAGAGACCGAGTGCCCAATCTGCAACCCAAAACCCTCTTATGCATCGTCGGGTGCTGGGTGGGTGTGGCCCATTGGGTGGGTGTGGCCCATTGGGTGGGCATGGCTGCGGTGGTAACAGCAGACTGGGTGGGACTAAAAAGTTCAATCAATCAATTCCAACTTTGCAAGATCTCTTTTTTTCCCTGAGAAGCTGAAATTGACTGATTGATTGAACCTCTTTTTTTTTGCACACGGCGACGGAGGCCTAAAGTGAAAAGGTTTTATAAAACCCAGCTGAAGGCCTGGGACTGGGCTGACAGCACGCGTGCCCACAGAGAGGGCTCTGAGTGCCGCCTCTGGCACCCGTGCCATAGGTTCGCCACCACTGTCTTCTTATTTGAGGAGGCTCCTTCAGTAGCTCTTTGTTCTTCACCATGGCTGTCAGCCCCACTTTTTACAGAGCCATTTTCAATTTGCACTTCTTCCTGTGGAAGCCCTGTTGGCACTGTATTATAGACCAACTACAGCTTCTCATTACTTTACAAGGCAGCCCAATGTAAAGTGCAGTGTAATAGTATAGTGAAACAGTAAATGAGGCATGACTATGATTAGAGCCAATCAGTGGAGTTGCAATAGATGTAACTGTACAAAGCTTTCTTGGACATAACTGTAACCTACTCAACCAGCAGAAGCTAAAAGATGAGAAGAATCCCTGTTACAAGCCAGTTCCATAAGAAAGAGTGTGATTTCATCCAGTACTAAAGCTGTTAATTCTCTGGAACTGGATAGCTTCCAAACCCAATCATAACTCTGTTTCTCTATATTCAAACCCTGAAAGCAACTAGATACCAATACAATACTTCAATGGTATTACATGCTTGGCCCAAAGTTAAGATGGGAAATTAAATATCATCAATATACTGATGATATCAGAACCTATGTTGAAAGATGAATTCACGCAAATTTTTGACAGCTTCTTACAGAAAAGAAGAGCACTGACCACTATGGTACTCCACAATTAAGGAATAATGAAATGGACCTCTCCAATCTTATCATAACTAATTGGAACCAATAGTTTAAAACTACTGCAACTCACAGCCTCCCACTCCCAACCATTGGTGAAAGCCCAGAAGGATATAATAATATGGAAAGCCACTGAGAGATAATGCAACACGAGGGTTGTACTCATACCATAGGGTATCCACATGTGCAATTAATATCTTCTGTACAATTCTGTGCCATTTCCATCCTAGACATTTGCAGATTTCTTAAGAGTGCTTATAGATATGTAAACTTTAACCAAAATCATTAAATTACAAGTTACAAGTGTCATCATATGCCTAAAAGCACAATAAGTAAAGTAGATTTTAATCCCTTAATAGCAGTGTTCTGTTTTTATCCCAGAAAATCTAGATAGAATTTTAGAAAGCTAATTATATGTATCTTAACAATCATATGTACTCACCAGTAAGTACAGCTTTTGCAGAAGGATCTGCAAGATCTAAAGCTGATTTTCCATCTGTATTCCGAATATTTGGATCAGCTCCATGTTGCAGCAGTACTGAATAAAAACATAATAATTATTTTCAAACATTTGGCATATAGAATAAATACAACTGCCAATGAACACATATACATTGACCTTGCTGCCAATCTTTTAAAAAAATCATAATCCAGAAAGCTGCTTTTGTTTAATAGACCATTCAACTACTGATTGGTTTTTCTTCAAAGATGAACATTGCTCCTTATATCACACAATAGTTTAGTCCCATAAATCTACTATTAGGCTGTAAATTTTCTCTAAACTGATTATGGACAATACAGAACATTTTAGAGCACATTCTCTATCTCCTTTAACTGACCTTTGGTGTACAAGTTTCAAAAAATATTTTGCCATGAACACATCCACTGTCCAGAATATATGCACATATAATTTGCTACAAAGCTTTTGAGTAAGCAGATTGTCTGTTGCACTGATTCTTCTAAAATATACCAAACATCATGATTATGCAGTCTTCTTACATTTTTAGCTGTCACTTTGCTAACACAAAATTAACAATAATTATCCTTAAATAATATTGGAGAATTGCTATCTTTTATTGCAAAAAGGGATGTGGCAATAATAGATAATAGTATTTTTTAGTATTGAAACACTAATAATGCTGATTTTTAGGAGCTTAGTTTCAATTATTAGTTATACTTTCTGCAAATAAGGTGCAGTTATCTATTTTACTTTAGACTTTCAAAAACAAGAAGCCCAAACTATTTTCTTTTAATAATACAGATAACTGAGAAGCATAATTCATATCTATTCTTGATCTTCATAGTAAAATTAACAATTTAGCTTACAAAATATTTGTTCTAGAAGACAAAGCACTATTCAAAATAACTAATGCATGAATATATTCTCTGAATAAATATAATAAAATTGTCATCTTTCCTACTGGAAACAAGCAGTTGCATATAGCAACGTTAATTTAAAAAAATGAACATATACAGTTTAAATATTTCACTTTTATAATCCCCATTCCTCATTTAACATTATTCTGACCTGGGTGCATAATCTGGCTTTATTCTTTACTAATTACTTAACTCGATCCTGCAAAGTTCCATTTAACAGGAAACCAAGTAAACTACACCGTAAACTAAAAAAAAAAATTGCACTGAGGCCAATTTTCTTCAATGTAATAAGTTGATCCTAATATTTATGTAAAACCATTACGTTCTTCAGCAAATAACTGTAGATTCCAAAGCATCAGTTAATGTTATATTAATTTGTCACATTGTCACATTAAATGTTACATTTAAAACCGATTATGTTTATCAAATAATTGTCTTTTGAAAAAAAATGCCATATATTAAGATGACGAAAATGCATATCCAATATATATCCCACTAAGAGTGAGATGGGTGAATCTGGATAATAATGAATCTAATTTTTAAACATTCAGAAGAACAAAGTATTTTGTTCATAGGTCTTTGTAGTAAAAGGATTTCAGGAAGAAGCTGACACTAATTTTTGATGGAAAGCATTCTAAATACTTTATATAGGTTAGGAGTCCCCAATCCCTGGGCTCTGGCTCAGTATTGGGCCGCAGCCCATTTGGAACCAGGTTGCAACCAGTGGGCACCTGCGCATGCGTGTGAAGCTCCACTCACAAAATGGAGCTTCATGTGCGCGCACAAGCACACGCCGCTCGTGCAAATGGAGGTGTGCCTGCCTTTCACAAGGAACCATTTCCTCTCCCCCTGCCAGTTTGTAAAGCTGGAAAGGTTGGGGACCATTGATATAGGTAGTCCTGAGGTTACAATGGCAATTGGGATGGGGATTACCATTAATTAGCAATGCAGTTATAAAACGTGATGTCACATGACTGCATCGCTCAGAGATGACAATCCTGGCCATTATTACAGGAGCTCCAAGCCATGAAAACCTAGGAAATAAAGGGTGTCAGAGCCATAAATTTCTTGTTTGGTTTCTAGTAAAAACACTGCACATATATTCCATATTTTGGGAGTAGTGCTGTATTTTCATTTATTTATTTAGTGCCTTTTCTCTTAGTGACTGCCTGGACAAGTCCCTGTAGTTTTCTTGGCAAGACTTTAGAAACAATTTGCCACCGCCGCCTTCCTAGGGCTCAGAGAAAGGATGAGCCAAGATCACCTAATTGGCTTTGAAGGTAAAGTAGGACTGGAACTCCCAGTTTCCAGGTTTCCAGCCTGGTGCCTTAACTATTGGCTCTCTGATAATATGTGTTATACATAAAGTATTGATGAAGATTAATTGATAGAAATTAAATACATATTCTAGACTTAAATAACCTAGAAGCAATGTTGTATAGTTATCTGAATGATGCACAGCAATGCTAAATTAATTTGGTATACTTTTGGTACATTTGGTACATTTGTTGCCAGTTTTAATCAATATGCAATATAATTTAAGTTTTTATTTTTAAAAAAGACTTTTTGCCTCAGAGAATGACTCAGAGAGAAATATTATGCATTTAATGTCCAAAATATTAGTCTTAAAAAAACCTTTATGTTTAGTAAAATAAGTTAGATCAATCACAGACATATAAGGGCAGATTTTCAATATAGAGCAATTGTTCACAAAGAAGATCCTAAGAACATTGAAACTGCTTCTACGGGAAGTCCTTAGTTAAGACCAGCAACTTTTCAGTGACCATTTAAAGCTATCATGGGGCTGAACAAAGAGACATATAATTAGTCCTCAAAACTGCAGCCGTTGCAGCAGTCCCACAGTGATGGGATCACGATTCAGACGCTTGGCAACCAGCCTGCAATTAGAATAGTTACAGTGTCCCACGATCATCATTTGCAACCTTCCCTGCCAGCTTCCAATAAGCAAAGACAATGGGTAAGCTGGCAAGAAATTACAAATGGTGATTATATGACATTTGTGCCTAATATCCATGCGGGATTTGCCTCAGGATTGGAATTGCCAGAACAGCCATCATACGCTGGCACAGTTATGTGATACCAAGTTTTATTTTTTTACAATTGTGTTGCTCAGTGATGGAGTTCCAAATTCCAATTACTGTCATTAACAGGAAACTACCAGTATTATAACATCAAACACATACTATATTTCAGTGAAACTAGAGTCTGGATACCATTTTTATAACTTTTAACATACACATACAGACTTTTTCCCCCTAAAAACTAATTTTGTCGAAAAGTTGTTCCTCAACAGACAGGTCAGCAATATACTACTTCAGGATGTCCATATGCCAGCCAGGCCCCTTGCGCCCCACAACTTCTCATAAAGTTTACATATCAGCAGATCATTGGGATCTTTCTTGCTTTTTTTATCTGAAGGTGACCAAGAAGGTGAGAATATCTGATTCAGGTTCTCTCATTAAATATAGCAAGTTGATTGAGAAATGAAAAAAGAGTGGGACTAGCTGGCATCTATTTTGCACCTTTTCTTTTGTCATTCATTGTTCAAAATCTAACAAATAAAAATAAAAGACAGTACTGGCTAAGCTGTTGAACTGGCACTTGGGTCAAGCCCCCCCCCTTAACCTTTCCTCAGTGGAAACTCACTGTGTGACTTTAAAACTAGTTACTCTCTCTCTCAACAAACTACCTCACAATGTTGTCAGGAAAAATGGGAGATGGGAACATTATCCATGAGGGAGAAGGAAGGAAGGAAGGAAGGAAGGAAGGGAGGGAGGGAGGGAGGGAGGGAGGGAGGGAGGAATCCAATAATTAATATAAACTATAGAAATATCATTTTCTATCTAATTTAATTGATGGTAGATGACCTCAAGGGCTCAGGCCTCAACAACTAAACTACCTTCTTGCAGCTGTTGTTTCCAAATTGATACTTTTGCTGCACTGTAATTTAAACTTAGAAAGAAATATTAGAAATATTTAAGTTTTTACTTGTAGCCTCATATTTATCTTTTTTCTTAACCTTTTTACATCTAATACTCTTTTTATTACTTCATGTTACAATACGAACAGTATTCCGCTGTTATTTCATTATATTGTATTTTATGTATTTTATTTTATTTTAAGATAGAAAAATGTTGGTTAGACATCATCACCACCAGATGGATTCGTAGCTGGCTGACCGGCCGTACTCAGCATGTGGTCCTCAATGAAACCACATCTACATGGCGGGAAGTGTGTAGTGGGGTGCCCCAGGGCTCTGTTCTGGGCCCAGTGCTCTTCAACATCATCAACGATTTGGACGAGGGGATAGATGGGGAACTCATCAAATTTGCAAACGACACCTAGCTGGCAGGAATAGCCAACACACCAGAAGACAGGCTTAGGATACAGAAGGATCTGGACAGACTTGAACACTGGGCGCTATCTAACAAAAATAAATTCAATGGTGAAAAAAGTAAGGTTCTACATTTAGGCAAGAAAAACCAAATATACAGGTATAGTATAGGGGGGGTTCCTTGCTCAATAGTAGCAATTGTGAGAGGGACCTATGAGTTCTAATGGACAATCACTTAAATATGAGCCAGCAGTGTGCTGCAGCTGCCAAAAAAGCCAACACAGTGCTAGGCTGCATTAACAGATGGATAGAATCAAGATCACGTGAAGTGTTAATACCACTTTACAATGCCTTGGTAAGGCCACACTTGGAATACTGCATCCAGTTTTGGTCACCACGATGTAAAAAAGATGTTGAGACTCTAGAAAGAGTACAGAGAAGAGCAACAAAGATGATTAGGGGACTGGAGGCTAAAACATATAAGGAACGGTTGCTGGAATTGGG